CAGGTTCCTGCCCTGAGTTCCTACCTTGGGCTCCCTGATGAACTGTGACCCAGGAGATGTAAGATAAATAAACTCTTTCTGCCCCAAGTTGGTAGTGGTTAGAATATTTTGTCACAGCAGTGAAGAAACAAACTAGGACACTTTCTTTCCTTCCCTCTCTTCCTCCCTCTCTACCCCTTTCCTTCCTTCCTTCCTTCCTTCCTTCCTTCCTTCCTTCCTTCCTTCCTTCCTTGCTTGCTTGCTTGCTAACAATATTGGGGATTGAATCTGGGGCCTTATGCATGCCAGGTTAGCACTCTACCACTGGGCTATAATCCCAGTCCCAAGGCTAATATTTTTTATTCTTCTCAGCACCAATTAGTTAATTCAGTGACCTATATACAGCTGACAACAGGTCTTATTGCAAAAAGCATAGTTATGTTTTCTATTACAGTCTCTCCACCTTCTTGGAAATGTATCACACAGAGTGTTGTACATACCACAAAATGGGCACTTAGTATTTCTTGAATTCAGTAGCTTTATTAGAAAAGTACTAAGGAACATTTAAAAACGCTGGTTAGGGGTGCTTAATACAGTGAAGATGAGCTTGAATGACTACAGCACACTCCCCTTGACCTATCTACATGTTGAGGAATTAATTTCTGTAGAATATGCATTTGTACACACTCGTAACTGGGAAAATAATCACTGTCTTAGTGTTGAAATACTTGTATGCCTCACTGGGGTTGGGAGTACCTGTTTAAGAAAATGGGTGACTGCAGGTGATGTAACAGGGTCCTTACCTGACTGTTCTTTGTAGCTGAGCTCTAGAATCACGTATCAGATACTATCCTTCCATTTCTTCAAATTTCCTGAAGTTGGGAAATATCTTGGGAACAACTGGTTTGTGTGTGTGTGTGTGTGTGTGTGTGCGGGTGCACATGTGAGGCCAGAGGGTGACAGTGGGCATCATCCTCCATAGCCCTCTACTTTGTTTTCTAAGGCAGGATCTCTTATTGGACCAGGAGCAGATTTGGGCTTGAATAGCCTAGCTAGCCAGCTTGACGCAAGGATCCTGTCTCTGTCTGTGCCTCCCGAGTGCTGGGATTACAGGTGGGCTGCCATGCCTATGCATCTTTTATGTGGTGCTGGGTATCTGAATTCTGGTCCTTCTACTTACATGGAAAGTGATTTAACTACTGAGCTATCTCCCTAGCCCCACTGTCACTTTGTGTAGCTACTGTTTACACAATTGTCAGTGAATCTGCCCAGGCAGCAGTGTGATCTATGGTGACGTTAGAATATTCACATTTTCTTACTCCTCCAATTACTTGCTAATGTTGACTCTGTTTCCTTGACTACTTCTTTGACAGAGCTTCTGAATAAAATTGTAGTTTAATATCCAGCATTTAAATCTTTGTTTTGTCATGTTTCTTAGTCACATTGGGTAATGATGACCTGGTACAAATAAATGGCACAAACAAGCAATAGCCTCCACATTCAGTGACTTGCAGTCAGCTATTGGCTTGTATAGAGAATAGGAATGAATCATCATTGACAGTGCATTAAGTGGATACATTTATTAAGTGTATTATGATGGTCTGATCATGCTTTGTTCTAAAAAATATTTATGTGTGCCTGAATGGTGTTGAGGTTCTAACTTTGGGCTTCACATATGTTAATCAAGGCTCTACTGCTAAACTATACCCTCAGCTAATGTTTATTATTATTTGAACTAAAAATCACTTTATTGTAACGAGCTGCAAATAAAACCATCACACAGCTAGATTAAGGTAGGCACTCAAACAAACACTTGGCCAGCACCAAACTCTATATATCTCAGTAAACTTCTATAGAGTTAGAATAGTCAGATAAACTTTGGCACACTAACATTTTAACTGAATTTATCTAAGCATTCTGCTTTTCATGAATGGGACAACACCAGATCTCAGATAGTTCTGTGTGCCACCAACACAGAATATTTGATAGTTAAGGCACAAAGTCTCTAGGTACAAATTAGTTAACAGCTTCGAATTAGCAAAGTCTCTAGTTATAGCTTAGTTGGTAGCTTCTGATTGGTTAAGTTTAAGTTCACATTGAGTTGGGTTTCAGTTTGCTTATTTAACAAAAGGCACTGGAACCATCTAATCCTAATGGCCTGTCAATTAAATATTTTTACTCTAAGGACAGAATTTACCTGTGTTACAGTGAATCCTAAAGCACCTTAGACTATGTACTACACTACTTTTAGGTAGTACATGGCCTTATGCTGTTTTGAACTCTAGAGATGGAGACTCCAAATTGAAACTGAATATGTAAGAAATGTATTAAAGTATCTGTGGGAGAAAACTGGGAAGGAGTCAAGTGGCTCAAAGCTGTCAAATGGAAGAAAATACGGCCCTGAGTGAATGGGGAGAAAAAAAAGGATGAAAGTTGTGTGGCAGTACCTCTCCGAAGCTTCAGCGAGGCCTGGAGCATTAGTCCACCGCCAGAGGAGGTGTCCTCTCCACCAAAGATGAGCTTGACTGAGGACTGCCTTGCTCTTTCTTACCTGAGAGCAGCTCAAGAGAAGCCCTCAATGCAAGCATAGTAATAGATCTCAGAGCACAGTAGATGAGACCCTTAATCAATTATCCTCCTTGTTAAGATCTCACAGACCTTCCCTTTGGTCATCACACAAGGTTCTTAGGTTTTAATGTGTATACAAATTACCCAGGAATCTTACTAAAATATGAATCCAGTAGGTCTGAAGTAGGGTTAAATACTTTGTCAGTATTTCTAACAGAGTTCAGATAAGATGATACTGTTGATTCCTGGACTTCACTTTGAATAACAAGGGCATGGGGATACTTGGAAGAGCTCTACACAAACCATCTAAGTAGGCTTAGGGAGAAGTCTGTTCAGGTACCTATATTGTGACTGGCAACTGTGTGGCAGTGGCATAAGTACAATTTCAGGTTATGTTTTTCCATTCTAATAATTACTCCCTGTTGCCTATAATAACCACAGCTATCAACCTCTTATTCTAAATACTTGTGCAACCTTTTATGATCATCCACACAGTTATGCATTTTTGGTGCCAACAGGACTTTGGCCTTCTGTGATCTCAATCATATTTCTTCTTTATTTAGACTGGTCATGATGTTTCTTAATCTTAAGCCAAAAGTTTCAAGCCCCTTCTTCCAACAATACTTCCAATGTCTCCTACAGAGACATTCCGGTATAGGCATCCATCATAGTTTTCTGCTGGTTGGGAGTCCTGAGGGAACTGGACATTTCCTTTAGTTTGCCTGAGGTCTTCTGCATCATCATTCTAACCACATGACTGTCCATGTATCTTTAAACAGATCTCCTTTCCTTTATCTAGTCATAGGCCTCTTTGCTTAGCTTGATTCAATTTTCTTCAGTGTCTATTGTGTAAAATAGTATTTTTTTTTCCTGAAGCCATTGGATTCTTTCTTCAAATAGCTTAAACAAAATAGAACAATAGGAGACAAGGTTAGAGCGATGGCTAAGAATACACCTTGCGAGTTAAGGTGTTTGAGCATTATCATGAAAACTAGGGGTTGTAAGTGAAGGGTTTCAGGGAAGGAAAGACATGATCACACTTATACATGTTGGATGATTACCTTGCATAAGTGAGCCAGATAACTTGAAGATCCAGGTGGAATCAGTGACTATGGAAGGAGGTTATGAGAAAACATGAGTGAGATTTATGGAATCAGGAGTCATCAGAACATCCTTGTGAGGGACAAAGGAATATGGTATCCCTCAAATTTCAAGCTTAGGTAATATTTAGGTTTTGAGGGTGCCAGGAATTGAATTGGAGAGGAGAGATGGAAGAGTAAGATTGAGAAAATGCTATTCGGCTTGACTTTGTAGGTATTAAGGGAGACACTATTATCATTTGAGTAAATGGGATGTAGAAGTCAGCAGTGTCAGACCTAGAGATCCTTCCTGTGTTCAGAATTGTTATTTGGCAAGCATTCCCAGCCTCAGCTTAGGCAACTGCTCCAAGTACACTAAGTAGTTTTTCAATTGCTTGTTTACAGTCTTGCTTTCTTTCAGTATGGTCCTGAAACTGTAGGTTACCTGGTACATTTGTAATTTCAGTAATTAATTCTTTTTCCTTCCAGGTTGCTCTTTGTGTTCTCAAGTCTGGGGCTTTATTCAGGGTTCTTTGTATTGGTTACATGTTTATGCAAGTCAGAAAAATGGGGACGATTGTGTTTGTGTGTGTGTGTGTGTGTGTGTGTGTGTGTGTGTGTGTGTTTGTGTTTGTCCCCCGGGCACAAAGGGTCATTTTGATTTACAATCTGAGTTAAAAAAAAAAAAAAAAGACTTAAAAAGTTAAAAAAAAAAAAAGACTTAAAAGATTACAGCTATGAGGAAACAGGAATTGATACAGTAGAATCTGCAGACGACTGGGTTGCTGTAAAAGAGCTACCATTATATGGTGTACTTTGTTTAGAAGGTTAAGATTAATTTATATGTGCATGGCACTGAGGATCTAACTCTAGTGCCCTTTGCCAAGGCAAATGCTCTACCTTAACCCTAGCTCCTTATGCAGTGGTTTTCAAGTCCTGGAGGGACCACAGGGAGGAGGGAGGATCATTGAATAGTTAGGACTTCAGGCCCATTACCACTTCAACCAGCGCATTTTCACTTGCGTTTACACGTTTTACTGAAGAAATTATTCCACGGCCTTTAAAAAAAAGTGTTTAAAGTTTGAAAAACACTATTTTAAGGCAATGACAATCAGACATATATGAAGAGCCCAGTGAGGTAAGAGCTCAGGTTTAAAAAAGCTGTTTTAACAATAGGTAACTGTAGGTCTTAAAACTGCTAACACCAACATGTCACCCGCACGGTGCAGGGAGCGCGCAGGCGAGGCGCGCGCGGGCTGATCATCCTCCGGAAGACCCGCAGCCCCGAGCCCCAGACCTCGCCTGGCCCGCAACCCGGAAGCAGATGCGCCCGATGGGCGGCACTGCGGGTTGCGCTTCCGGGTCAGGCGCTCCGCAGCCCGCGTGCCCTCGCCACTACGGCTCCCGCCCCCCTGCTCGCTCTCCGGACCTGGGCGGTCTGTGGCCGCGCGGCCGCTGCGGGTCCCCATGGCCGAGGGGGACGCAGGGAGCGACCAGAGGCAGGTGAGGCCCCCGCGGGGCGCCGACCCTCCAGGTTCAGCCCCGCCTCGCCTCTCCGTGCCCGGCTCGCGCTTGGGCCGCCCCCGGGCTGTGCGTATCTTGGACGCACCGCGGGCCGAGCTCGGCGCTGCCCGTCTCGGCCCCGGCAGGCGGTGGACGGGGTCCTCGTCTGCCTAGGCCACGCAACGGAGCAGCTCCGCGCCCAGCTGAAGCCCGGGCTCTGCTGTTGTCGCAGGGTCGTTATGGACGCGGCCCTTAAAATCCTGGGCTTCAGTCTTTGCACAGTGTTACCGTGGGCGGTAGCACAGCCCCCGACCTCTGCGCTCCCTCCTGGTCTGCTGTACCTGCTTCCTGTGGGCGCCCAGCGGGCTCTTCAAGGGTCACGAGGACGCAGAACGATCCGAAGTTGAATGCATTCTTAGATTCCGGTTTTCCACCGGGAGGTCCAGTTATTCCTTTTAAAACCTAAATCCAAATAATAAACCCTGAAATGCTTTGAGATGGTTACCAGAAAATAAACAAATAAAAAAAAAATCCAAAACAGAAACACCCACTGAGAACTCAAGTAGGAGTCCAGAGAGGCATTGATGTGCAGGGTATGTGTGGATGCGGGGCTTATCTGTGAGATGTGTTTTAGCTTCTCACTGGTGAATCTCACTACAGGCTATAGACGTGCATATGTAATTTGTCTCAGTAGAGACCCCAAACACGGTAATGCTAAAAGAAATAAGGCTGGTTCCAGGCTTGACGAAAGTAGCCAACACGAGGACCCCCCTCGACCTCCACTCCCACTCCCCACCCATGTTAACATTGGTCTCCTAAGACTCATCCAGACTAGGGGTAGTGGTTACTAATGCCATAAAATCGTTTTTTTCCATGTACATTTGAATGTTGACCTTTTTTTTTTTTAAATCAACTTTCAGAATGAGGAAATTGAAGCAATGGCAGCCATTTATGGCGAGGAATGGTGCGTCATTGATGACTGTGCCAAGATATTTTGTATTAGAATTAGCGACGATATCGATGACCCCAAATGGACACTTTGCTTGCAGGTATCTTTTGTTTTCTTTCGGCTTTCTACTGCCATTTTCCAGTCACGTTATTTAATAGATAGCTGCTGCCATTTCTATTTTCATGAGTATTCTGGCATGAGTTATTTCTAACTTGCCTTTGTTGGTTTTTGTCAGGATTGTGTAAAACATGGATAGTCAAATCTCAGTTCTCCCACAAATCGTGCTTCCATTGATTGTTCAGCCTTCCAGTTCTTATCATTATTGATCGTGTCAATATGTCATTTATAGATTTGAATTTCACTTTGTTATTCTCTCCAATAAGAGCGGGTTTAAGCCCAGACAGGTTGCTTAAACTGGAGAGGAAGAAGAGGTTAACAATGAAGATGATTCACAGAGCATATGCTTGTTTATTAAGAATCAGTGGTAGTTAGGATAAAATGAATGAAAGATCAGCTATGGCTTTCTGTCTTAGGCTTGTTCAGTGGCTGCCTCTACTTTCTAGGTAAAGGATGCTAAGTTGGGTTGGGTTTTTGCAGTGTTTGTTTTTAAATTACTGACTTGAAAAGAAATGTGTACTTTATTATGTGATAGCTTTTCAGAGGTCATCTTTAATGGTATTTCACAGGATTTTGAAAATACTTTTAGTATTCAGAAAACTATCTGGAAAATGACAAGACATCAGTACTCATTGGGGTCAGAGCACAATGCCCCTGTGTTTTCCTTTTCCTTTCATCTTTGTCCTTCTTTATTCTAACTTTCATTCTTTTATGCTTTCTCTGCAAACAGTAGAATTCCAAAAATATTGGCAACCTCTCTAAAAACATGATTTTTTTAAAGATCGATTTATTTATTTATTTTTTTAATGTGTATAAGTGTTTTGCCTGAATATATGTAAGTATACCAGATGGTGGAGAGCCCCCATGTGGGTGCTGGGAATGAAACCAGGCTCCTTTGCAGTAGCAGCCTGTGTTCTTAACCACTGAGCCATCTCCAGCCCAAAATATTCTTTGTAGAAGTATAAATTTGAAGGAGGGGATTCTCTTCTGACATCAAATAGAACAGTGACTTGTTTTTTGTTTCAGAAAATTAGAAGTTTGTTCCTTGACTAGCTTTATAAATGTAGTTGTTTTTGGACTGTGATGAAGTATAAACAGATTTGTTTTTAAACTCGTTTTAGGTGATGTTGCCACGTGAATACCCAGGTACAGCTCCACCTATTTATCAACTGAAGTAAGTTACATTTCTGCGTTTATACATATACCTACACACACACACATATATATATATAATTTATTTTAGATGTTGCCACGTGAATACCCAGGTACAGCTCCACCTATTTATCAACTGAAGTAAGCTACATTTCTGCGTTTATACATATACCTACACACACACACACATATATATATAATTTATTTTACATGTATGAATATTTTGCCTGCATATATATATTTATAAGTGCACCACATGCATACAGTGTCCAAAGAGGCCAGAAGAGGGTGTCATCTGGAACTCGTTAGCTCCTATGTGGTTGCTGAGAACTGAACCTGGGTCCTCTGCAAGAGCAGCCAGCGCTCTTTTTTTAATTATTTATTTTTCTTTTTTATTATTTTTATTTTATGTGTATGCATATATTGCCTGCGTGTAGGTAAGTGCACCTGTGTTGCGCAATGGCCACGGAGGACAGAAGGGGCTGTTGGATCCCCTGGAGCTGGAGTTAACAGACAGTTGTTAGCTGCCGTGTGGGTCCTGGGATTCGAACCTGGGTCTTCTGCAAGAACAACCAGTGTTCCTAACCACTGAGCCATCTCTCCAGCCCTGCAGCCAGTGCTCTTAACCACAGAGCCACACAGCCTACATTTAAGTTTTTATAAAAATATTTTACTGTCAAAGATATTACTTTATAGTGTTATTGTGTTTACATAAATGTTTTTATTAAAATGTATCCAGAAATTAAAACATCTTTTTGATTTGGTATAGAGCATTTAAAAAATTATATAAAACACTTAGAAATATGCCACTTAGTATAGAAGAGAATCAGGGAGTTCATGGAGGTAAGGTGGCTGCAGAATTGCCTTTAGAAATGAGGAAGAAAACCTTCATCTTTATTCAGCCTAACTTAGTAATCTGGAAACCTAGCCTTTGAGTTTCTCCTATCTTAGTTCTGCCACCTTACCTGTAGTTCTTTGAGGAACCTCTTAAAACTGCCAGCCTTCCAAGAATCACCCAGGGTGCTTCCGGTGGTTCTTTCTGCCTCCTTCCTCCATTGTTAGTGAGGAACTGTCTTCTGAAGAATCCGACTTCTTTATGAGCCATAACCTGTTGATGCAAGTGACCTGTGATCTGCCTTGCCTTTTGACCTTGTGGTATAGATAAACCATGTGAACAGATTTGCATAAATCTGTTACTAAAATTTTTATCAGGTAGTAGAGGATATTTTTGTGTGTATTTCAAAACCATGCCAACAGAATTAATAAAATAGTTCTGTATTTATTTATTGTATATGATAAAGCATATTTATAAATGTCTTCAGAGTAAAGATATTTTTACAGTTATATGGACTTATTTTTGAGACTAACTGCAGTTAGAAAATATTGGGAACTCCCGGTATTGTGGCAAATACTATTGACTCTGGAAATTTTAATTCTTACCCATGTTCTGCCACTTATGTAAACTTGGCAGTTTATAGTATCTTGTGAACTCTATTTCTGCTTTCAAATCATTAAAACTGAATAATATTAGTGTTGATTTTGCCATTGTTTCCTGGGAAAGTTAAATGTGTTAAGGCCAATGAAAGCGCTTTGGAACTGTATAAATTTATAAAAATACAACAATTAAATGAAAATAAATAACTTTTAAAAAATCAAATATAACTAATTTGTCTATCAGTATTTTTTGTTTTGTAATACAAGCATAATTCTTGAATAATTTTCTTTGCTGCTGTATTTTATTCAATCTTAGTGCTCCTTGGCTGAAAGGGCAAGAACGTGCAGATTTATCAAACAGCCTTGAGGAAATATATATGTAAGTAAGTGACAGTTGATTAAAAGAAAATTCTGTTAATGGTTCTGCTATGGGCTTTTAAAAATTTTTTTTGAGGCAAGGTCTCATTATGGAGCTCTGGCTGGCCTGAAACTCACTATGTGCTGGGATTAAAGGTGTGTGTCACCATGCCTGGCCTTGCTAGGGGTTTCCTTGAAACTGATATATTCATGCTTTTTCTCAACTTTTTGTTAGCTTGTCCTTTAATTAACAAAATAATCCATTTGAAGAGACCTTAAAAGGTTATATAATTTCACAAGTATATTTGGTACAGAAATATGGTAATATTTAAAGCTAGTAGATGTAATGATATTTAGCTGGATTCTGAAAGCAAATTCAGAGTGTTCTTTGTATATTTTTATAGATCTGTAGAATGAAATTGATGATGGCAGAATTCTAACCAGAATTCTGTGTTAAACTCAGAATACTTTGGTGGTTCTCTTTAGTCTGAAAGACCAAGAGCCTACAGATGCACTGTTTTTCATTAATTCATTCAGTGTCTCATTCATTCATTTTCACTTACTCAGTAAATAGTACATGGCACACAGTATATTGGATCCTAGATACACATTAGTTAGCAAACCTAAAAATGATCCTTCTTTCATGGCATTTTGAATTTTCTAGTGTGGGTAGAGGTGGGACATTGCTTATAACATTTGTAAAAACAAATGGAAAATTATGCCTGTGATAAGTTTTATAAAACAAAGATAGACAGTATGGCGATAATTGAGTTTGAAGCAGTCTGTGCTTCTATGGGAGGTCCCAGGCTGCTTGGTAGACCAAGCACTGAGTTAATTAGCTAACACTAACTGCAGTGTGAGCATCAGCATGGTGACAGGAAGTGAGAGGAGAGGTAGAGAGGCACAGAAAGATCGTCAGGCATTCTTAGGCTTTGTTAGGGATTTTTGTCTTTCTCCTAAGAACAGTTGGAAGCCCAGTTTTAAGTAGCCTGATACCAATGCTAAGGTTTTCACTTTGGAAAAGTGAGCCTTTTTCAATGTGGAGATTGACTGAAAGTAGAGAGAATTGGTGTGGGAAATTTGTTAGGAAGCTGATATATTAGTCAGGAAAAGATAGGATTGATTTGGATTAATGATATACATTGATTTACTAAACCAAATAATATTCTGGAATATCAGTTTTTTTCCTAATCCAGAAACTAGTAAGGGTTCTAGTATATGTTCTGAGTGTCCACCCTATTCAGTACAGTGAGAGATCCCCTTTATGTACCTGGGATCAAGGCCAGGGTTCTTTTCTTCCCAAAATATTTAATTAGAAAATAGTCACCATGGGATGCACATCACTTGATTCTTCCTAAGGGAAATATGGTCTGTTTTTTGGTCCCAACTTAGTGCTTCTATTATCCTCAGTGTGTAAGTTATTTCTTCAATTAAATTTTTTTAAGATTTATTATTTTTAATTATCTGTGTCTGTGTGTAGCTATGTGTAGGTGAGTGCAGGTACCCACAGAGGCCAGTGGCATCAGATTCCCCTGGAGCTAAAGTCACAGGTGGTTGTGAGCTGCTCGGTGTGGGTCCTTGCAGTCAAACTTGGGACCCCTGCAAGAGCAGTAAGTGCTCTTAACTGCTGAGCCACCATCTCCAGCCCTTTATTTATTTATTTATTTATTTATTTTACCAGCTTTACTCCCTCATTAATGTAGAATAAGAAAAGCATACTGCAAATCTGCTCCCAACTGATGTCCTAATTATACATCTGATGGTCATTTTTCAGCTCTTATTTGACAACTCAGTGATACTGACCACTTCCTTCTTTCTTGGAAATCTTCTACCCTTGACTTCCATGGTGCTGATCACACTCGGCAGTTGGACTTTCCTCCTGTTCATGCTCAATGGCGTACATTCTGAGGCATACATTCTGAAGCAGCTTCCCAGTAGCTCTAGCTGTTCCCCAGTCCTTCATACTCAGAAACCCACTTGTAGGCCACGGCTCACCTCTTTCTCTAACTTGAGCTCCCTGAGACTTAGGAAGGTTCAGAGACTATAAAACAGTTTGTCCCAAGATGAATAGTGGTCAGAATAACTTGTTTAGTGAAAGTGCTTGAATAATAATTGCAATCCAGTGATAGTGTTTATATACATGTGGTTGAGAGAGTAATACATCTTGTACTTAAAAAGTTTTATGTAACAAATTGTAATGATTTTGTATATATTTCCAATCAGGGGCAGTAAGTGAAAAATACTACTGAACTTCAAAAATCAAACCCAAATTTACCAAGATAGTTCTTTTTTTTTTGGTCTTTTTGAGACAGGGTCTCCCTGTAGCCCCAGCTGTCCTGGAACTCACTATGTAGACCAGGCTAGCCTTGAACTCACAGAGATCCGCCTGCCTCTGCCTCCCAAGTGCTGGGACTACAGACGTGCGCCAAGGTCTCCCTGTAGCTGCAGCTGTCCTGCATTCGCTAATGGAGACCAGGCTGGCCTCGAACTCACAGAGGTCTGCCTGCCTCTGCTTCCCGAGTGCTGGGATTAAAGGCAAATGGCACCACGCCAAGCTACCAATGTAGTTCTTAATGTTTATATTTTTATTCTAAATATTATAACACCCTTATATTTTGTATATTTAGTATAATTTTGAATACTAAATTTAATTTTTGTCTATATAAGAAACTGGTTAGTGGGCCACTTACATAGAGAGCTAAGAAAGAAATTTTTCTTTGATAAGCATTTATTATCTTTTATATACCAGCTTGTTGTTCAGATTTGGGGATTTAAAAATGAAGCTGAAGAGGCTGGGAATGTAGTTCAGTGCTCGAGTACTTTGTAGCATGTGCGAGAACCTGGGTTTGATCTCCAGCAGTGTCACACACATACACACAGACACAGACACATAGACACACACACACACACACAAAGATGAATGTGTACCTGTATAATACAGTGTGAAAGTTATTGTGTTATTTGCATCAAGTGTTTTGGTAGTACTCTTTGAAGTTTTCTTAACAAACTATCTCTGAGTGTGTTTATTAGATTAGAAAGGTGGGTTTGATTGTAAAAGTGACTCTTGTGTATAGTATGTCAGGTAATCAAACCTAGGAGGATTTATCAATAAACGGAGCTGTGTGATCAAAATCATATTTCTATAAAGCAACATGGCATCTTCAGTTTACCCAGTTCTGTTAGCTATCTGTTATTAGCTTATGAAAAGAAAAGATGTATTTAGGCTCACAGGTTGAGTTGCTGTGGACAAGAGCATGAGGTGAAGCAGAACTGCTTATATTGTAGCTGGGAAGCACAAGAGAGAAGACAGGCGTGGGCTTCACTGTCCCTTTAAAGGGCATGTCTCCAGGGATGAGAGCTATCACAGGAGGCCTACCTCTTCAGCCAAGCTGAAGACCACCTTTTACCATCTTTGCCTTTCAGGGACAGTCTATCCAAACCATAGCACAGAGTTTATGCTCTGGGAACATAATAAAGAGTTTGGGCATTGTCTTGTAGGTTCCGGCATTAGCATTTTAGGCAGGATAAGATGGCTTTAATTTGTGTGGCAGTGTGGATGATGGGCTGGGAGGAATTGGGACTGAATAGAAATAGGTAGAAAAACTGCAAGGAGTTTGTATAAAGAGCCTCAATAGGAAGAGCAGTCAGTGACTCAGGAGGGTTTAGATAAGAGGCCTTTTTTAAGGCCCTGAATGCAAATGGAGAATGGTCAGTTGAAGAGCTGTTTAACCCTATATAGGATTTAGTGATCTATTACATACATGTATATTAGTTTGGTTATCATATTGAATTTTTATTAAGTATTTTGTTTATGGATTTTTTGAATAGAAAAAAGATTATCTTGAAAGGTAACTAAATGTGAAATGCTTAAAATTTTTAAGACAAAATAAGAGGACTTAACACTTTTTTTTGTACTTACTTTTTTTTTTTAATTTTATTTATTATTTTTATTTTGTGTGTATGTATGTATTGCCTGCATGTAGGTAAGTGCACCTGTGTCATGCAGTGTCCGTGGAGAACAGAAGAGGCTGTTGGAGCCCTTGGGACTGGAGTTACAGACAGTTGTTGCTACCATGTGGGTGCTGGGATTCAAACCTGGGTCTTCTGCAAGAACGACCAGTGTTCTTAACCTCTGAGCCATCTCTCCAGCCCCTCTACTTACCTTTTTAACTATCCATTAGAACATTCAAGAATGAATTCCATTCACTTCCTGTAGCCTTTTACTTTGTTCCCCTCCAGTGCTGGGGATTGAAACTAGGTGCTTTGTGAGACTTTTCCTGGGGAGATGAGATGCAAAAATTTATTGTCTCCAGATAGGGAACCAAAGACAGACCCAAAGTAACAATTCTGCCAAAGTCTGGCTTGAGGGACCAATGAGTTTATTGGGGTTACTTACAGAAGTATGAGTGAGGAACTATTTACAGAAGCATGGTCTGCCCAAAGCCAGCTGCATCGCTGAGAAGCCCACCCCAGCCCGAGTGATGGAAGCTGCAGCCCTGGAGCTCTCTGCAGGCAGCTCAGCAGTTGGAGAATTCCTTCCCCAGGCACCTCAACAGTTGGAGAATTTCTTCCCCAGGCAGCTCAGTGGTTGGAGAATTTCTTCCCCAGGCATCTCAGCAGTTGGAGAATTTCTTCCCCAGGCAGCTCAGTGGTTGGAGAATTTCTTCCCCAGGCATCTCAGCAGTTGGAGAATTTCTTCCCCAGGCAGCTCAGTGGTTGGAGAATTTCTTCCCCAGGCATCTCAGCAGTTGGAGAATTTCTTCCCCAGGCAGCTCAGTGGTAGGAGAATTTCTTCCCCAGGTAGCTCAGTGGTTGGAGAATTTCTTCCCCAGGCATCTCACTGGTTGGAGAATTTCTTCCCTGGGCAGCTTAGCTGGAAGAGTCTCTTCTCCCTGCAGTTGTTCACTGCTTCCATAATCTTAAGGAGGGGCCTTGTTGATCTTGTTTGTTTGAGGAACTTCCTGAGACTTCTGGGCTGTTTACTTCCTGAGTCTCATGGATCTCTTCCCTCCTTTCTGGAGG